AATCCCTCCTTGAATTTTCTGGTAACTTGCCAAAACCAGCATACTTAATTTGAAACACTCTACCACAGAGATCAGAATTTTGCAATGGAAAGTGGAATATACCCATTAAGCAGTTTTTGCTTTGGAAACATTTTATTTTATTTTATTTTATTTTATTTTATTTTATTTTATTTTATTTCTAGGCATGTTTAAATAAATATGTAATTTAATCAGAGTAGTTTTTGATAATACAAGGAAAAAAAGGGGTTTTTTCTCTCAAATCCTAAATCTATATATACATACATATGTATATATAAGCACTTTTTTACTGTTTTGTAAATGCATGAAACCTAAGCAACCGTCCTATACTTCATGTAAATGTGCAGAACCATGTCACTCATTCCCAAACCTATTAAGTCATTCTGTTTCATACGGATAACCTTTGTTGCTAGCAAGTGTACACCTGGAAGAACAATGTATTATCTAAAACAAAACATCTTGTTTTGTATTATACAGAGACTGTTACCAATAGCTGACCTCTGTTTGTTTTTTGGGTTTTGTTGTTGTTGTTGTTTTGTTTTGTTTTAATGCATTTCTGAAGCATAAGTCAACCACATGCTTTGTAACTCGTTCTAAAGATATGGGATTTGCCCATCAGCATAGATGACAGCAGAGGGGCGAGAAGAGAGAGTCCTGTGGATACAACATTTTTTTATTATTATTATTTATGAGAGCACCACCACAGAGGAAGCGAGACCATGAGCAGAGTCCAGCTACACCCACTGCAGGTGCTGACTGCCATGAGAGCAGCATTTCACCTAAATAAGATGCTGGTACCATGCAGGCATGGCAAAGCAGGATTCGTGTGGGATTTCTGCTTGGTGGTGGTCAGCCTAGACGAGATCATTTAAACCAGTTCTGCTTCTGACCAGATACTCTGAAAGTATCTAGTAACACAAAACAAATAAAGGTATTACAGAAATACCACTGTCTGCTGGGAAACTGATGCATAACCTTCTTATTACTAAAATCAACATCAAAGGATCAAGATGGAAAAAAAAAAAAGGCAGGAGGAAAAGAAAAACAATCTTCACACTGTATCTGTTCATTTTTCAAACATCTTTTAACCTTTTGATCTGGCCTGAGCAAAGTGAGACAGTTCAAAGACCCATCAGACAGTTATATCTTTTATACTACACAGTTTTATTTAGATATTCCTCTTGCCAAGCATTTAAAGACTATGTTCAGTTAATGTATTCAAGCGTATATTACTAATACATTACTTTAATTATTCATTTCAATTCAAATCAAATTACATCACGTTTATTATCTTGTTATTTTGGCCACATTATTGCTGCAACTCAGCCTTTCCCAATCAAATAAAGCTAATGCTAGCAAACAACCCAAAATATTTCATTTTCTTTCCTTTGTTTGCTTTTTGAACTGCCAAACAGAATTATCATAATTTATTTTATTAAAATATTGGAAGTACCAATTAGATACAAAACTATGCATAGTGAATTTGCTTGTCCAGTCGATTTCGACAACTGTAAAAAAAAATCGGAAATCCAAATGTCCTATGGAAAGGGAAAAGCCCCCTGGCACACTGAGAGGGAAGACTGCCTTAGGGGATGGGACTCACCTCGGAGTGCAAGGGAAGGCAGGCGGGTCTGTGCCGGGGTAGCTGTGGAGCAGATGCAGCTACCTGGGAGCCAGCGGGGCTGAGTGAGCCCTGCTGGTGCAGGGAGGGGTGTCGTGGGGCTGTATGTGTGCGCTGGGAATATCTGCTCCCTGTTGGCTGGAGCTGGACCGTGAAGCTGCTTCAGCATCACTACTGCTGGGCTGCGGAGTTCAGCCACTACCTTGGAGCATTCAGCTCTTTCAGGTTTCTGTTTTGTTTTGTTTTTCCCCCAGGAACTGAAGCAATCTCACGAGTAAGATTGAGATTCAATCAAATGAAGTAACAACATGCTTAGCATACGTTTTTACTATTTATTATTATTTGGGGTTTATTATCTTGTGGTAAATCTGATGAGCTCCAACAAATGTCACAATTTCAGCTCTGCAGGAGTGGTCAATTCTAAACTCAACTCAGCTCAACTTAGAGTCTCAAAAGATTAAGCAAAAATAGGTACTATTTTATTTTCCATTATTTGAGGATTACTGCTTTTTGGAAACAAGACTTAAGTCTCAAGATTAAATCTCTTATTTCTAAAAGCAGCCCAAAATAGTATAGCAAAAAAAAAAAAGGGCCCTTTAATCTTCAGTCTGTCTTCAGTTATATAAAACTAAGTTAAACCTGAATAATTCTGAGTTTTATTAGTCTGTCACTTAAATCCATTAAGTTTATAATTTGTTATTATATGCTTGTTCTTTCACAGAAGTGATTAAATTTAGTACTACAAATACATTTTTTCAAACATTTCCAAAGAAGCTTTCAAACTAATGAAATACCATTTCAGTGACATATCTAAAATAGGCATTCTTTTGTATTTGCCTAAATGATGCAGACTGACTAGGGCCAGAAGCAGCTTCCATCTGAATGTGAAAAGACAGGATTAATAATTCTTTATGATGTGCCTAGGTGAGGGATCATTACCTGTAATGCCTTCCAGGACTGGGGAGTTCTAGACCTTCTCATTCAAATTCACAGTGAAAACACAACGGAAATGGAAGATCCAAACAAAGAGACTGGTATGTGTCTCTTTGTATACTTATATACTAAGTATAATTTTGTGGTTTTATTCTGCAAATAACACTTATACTTGATATCAATTAAAAATATTTCTTGCTACCAGTATCCTAGTACGTAATAACTCACCTAGAAAAATGTAATGGGCTTAATGTCTAGAAACTCTGGGAAAATAGAAGAATCAAAGATCCTTGGCTTCGGGGCAGACTGGTAACTGATACTCTTCTGTGTGTGAAGTGAGCGTTTATAGTTTAGTGGTTACTTCATAAAATCTTCACCTTTCACTCACAGAGTTCAATTATAATTCACAGAATCATTATGGTTGGAAAAAAAGCCTTCAAAATCATCTAGTCCAACCGTAAGCCCCTCAGCACCATGCCTGTTAAACTATGCCCCTAAGTGCCTCATCTAGACATTTCTTGAACACTGACGGTGATGGAGCCTCCACCGCTCCTTTAGGCAGCCTGTTCCAATTCTTGACTACGCTTTCTGTGCAGAAATTTTTCCTAATGTCTAACCTGAACCTCCCCCAGCACAATTTGAGGCCATTTCCTCTTCTCCTAGCCCCAGCTAGGGGGTGAATTCTGCAATAATGTGCTCAAACTATTAGGCTCAAACTATTAGGCAAACTATTAGCTTAGCATAAGGAAATAATTCCTCTGGAAATTTCAGGGTCATATTGTATATACTACAGGACCTGCCAGTAGGGCAGAATTTAAAATTGTGCCTGGATACAGTCTGATCTTAGAGGTATCCTATCATAGTCAGGATCTTCTGCTGGGAAAGTAAGTCACATATTTCACAGGATTCGTGCCTGTTTGTCCTGATAGGCTCAAAAAATGCATTTTACTTGAGAAAAACATGTAAAATGGAAACAACAGTGAAAGCTGTTGATTCTTAGCTTTAATAAACTGCTGCATAATAAATTGCTAACACCCAAGTGGAATGTCTGATGTACTATGTAGAGCAACAGACACATGCCTGAACTAATGATCTCCACATATATTTCCTTAAAGTTTAATTCCATGGTGAGCATTTTGCTGGAGATAAGACATACTGAAAAGGGAAAAAAAAAAAAAAAAAAAACAGAAAAGTAGTTTATTGTGTTCTTTACCATGTCCCAAACTTTCCTCTGTTATTCTATGAGTTCTTAATTTTCTGGTGTATCAGCAGGATAAGCCACATCATTGTTTTTGTTACCTCTAGTCATGGGTCTAAAACACAGAGCTGACATAAAACAACACATTTAAAATCATAGTTGTCAACAGTGGTACTATTTATCCTCAGTAAACTTTGTACAAATAAGCTATAAATGCAAGAGATCATAAAATACATACCCAACTTGAATTGCCAAAATAATGTGGAATTGCATAGATACTTATTTTAAATATCATCATCAACATCTTTTTAAAGAAAAAAGGACTATGTATGTTTAAATGTTTCTGTACCTATTCTTTTGCATATGCCAGTCATCAGAAACATATGGTTGTTGCAGTGTATTTTGCAATTTCTAAGATGATACAAGCCAGGAAGTGTATGGGAAAAATGGAATGACTTAGTCACAGTCAGAAGCTGAACGAGCTTTTGGTATGTGCGGTAAAACTTGAAACAGCTGATCTAAGTACAGAATTTAAAAGCACAAATGCAATAAGAAGCTGAGTGCCTTTTTGAGTTACAGAGCTCTTCTGTGTTCAACATAATAACTACAATGTCTTTGATGCTGAATGATGATTTATGAACAACAAAAATCAATAACAATTCCATTTAAAAACCCTGGATTTTAATAAATTTCTAAGTAAACGTAAGCAGCAAGTGACAGCAGCATTGACATCCTCTTGTCTTCCTTTAAACTTGTATATGCAAATCTATGTACGAGCCTGATATTTAGCTTACACTGTGCTATGGAGGACTTAAATTTCCTAGTGCTGAATGTAGCTTCAAGATAAGAGCTTGATTAAGAATAATGAAGGAAGAAAACATTTTGATAGGGGAGTGCCTATATGTGTGAGTTGAATTCCAGGCATTTTTTTATTTTATTTTTTTAAAGAAAAGACATGACTGAATGGAAAACAATTTATTACAGAAAAAGCCAGCAAGCAAGCATATACTTTGAGTAACTGCTGTGGGAAGCACAGATACTTTTGTCAAAGGTAAATCTCTAAAGATTCCTGATCACACACTGGTAACACCTACTCAATGTAAGAGCAGAAGTACAACTGCTGGTTCTTTGCAACATGTCCCAGGCATTTAAACACAAATTTCTACCACCACCACTTCCAGCTGTGCTTAAAAGAAAAAGCCTTTTACAAAGCACTTATATATTTCTTACCTTGGAACTGAGCATTAAATCCCTTCCGTCGATGATTACTGTCAGATGTGAAATGGAGTCGTAACCAGTTCTTACTGCTGATAACAGGAGAAGGTAGATTCATACCAGTCAACCTGGAAGAAAACAGATCTATTATAAATCATGCAAAAAATCATGTTTAGACTACTTTAAAAGGAAAAAAAAAAAGACAAAACCAAAACATGTTGCATAGTTTACAATGTATTTAATAACAACAGTTTACTGGAATGTAGTCTCAATTTATTATTGGTTTAGTAACTATTATATTGTGAGTTTTTTTTCCATTGCATCTAGCCATTTTGTTGCCAAACTTTACAAATGACTTTTTTGCAAGGTAGAAAAACATTTTTCTTTGTATATGCACATGTATGTGTATGTTTGTGTGTACATATATGTGGGACAAATCAATTAGAAAAAAAAAGCAAATGAAAATATGACAAAATATTGTTTCTAATGTAAATTGTATTGATCAGATTTTTCATAAGCACATATTCTGCGTCATTTGGCCTTTTGCTGGAGACATTTGATCTCATTTGCAGAAGTATTGAGTCTCTACTACTGATGTTATCTCAGTCATTAGCCTCTAAGATCAGGAATTAAAAATGGTTTTCACTTTGCAAGTGACAGATTTGAATGTAACATGATAAACAGTATTCGAGTCCATGAACTGAATGAAGAAGATTAAAAGAAACTTAAAACATTCATTCATTATCAGTCATCTAGTGCCCTGTTAAAGACCAGTCCCATGGGGAAAGAAACATCATTTTTCAAATAAAATTGTAAAATAATGCATACACTCAAAGCTGTATAGCTGTGTTAGTATGATACAACACCTCTGCTGATAAACCTGCAAGAAATAACTAGAATAGCACTGTTCCAGCTACGTTTCTTCTAGGTGTGAAGATAATGTGGCTGCAGCAGAACCACAGCTAGCGGGGAGGCCCTCTTATTGCTCACTGTTGTGAAGAGTAAATAACCTCTTTCTTGTTTTATTATTTTTTTTTGCCTTGTATTCCAAAATGTCTTCACACTGATGCTCAGTGTATATACACTAACCTACTGTATATAAAAATAATAAAACATTCAGTTTTCATAGACTCATGAAGGACTGATGCACACCTTACCTAACTTGTGTCATATATTAGACACAACATCCTTTGAAGTCTCCACTGCCCTCTCAAGGGACCGTGATCACAGAATCACAGAGTGGTTAAGGTTGGAAGGGACCTCTAGTCCAAGCCCCCAGTAAGTATTATTAAAATGGTTGATAACAAGTTTGCCTCAAATATTTGTGTCCCGCCAAATTTTCTAGAAGTTAGTGTATATTAATTAACTTGAACTACAACATAGCTTTACACTTAATTAGGAGAAGTATCTACAGGGAAATATCTTGTTTTGATTATGGATTTGATGAAAAGAAAAGTAATTAATATATTTATGTGAACAATTAAATTATATTTTTTTCCTTTATGGGGCTGCTGACTATAAACAAAACATGATCTGTTTTTATCGTAGAAGTCTACTGTTACCTTATTCTCCTGAAAATGAAAACGCAGGAAAGAATTAAAGTAAATGAACTCTGTTCTTTGGGGAGTTTATCTGTCTGTCTGTCTGCCTGCCTATCTATCTATCTAGCCAATTCATTTCCCTTTATTCTTCTGTTTATTTTAGCTATTTTACTAATTTTGTGATCAGTCAAACAGAAATATATGCTAGGATTAACCTTGATGTTATTTGTTCGAGAAGATAATAAAATAAAAAAATAAAATGAAATGTAAACAAAAAAAATGAGAAAAATAAAACACTAGGAGAGCTAGTTAAGATTAAACAACTGCTCACGAGCTTTCTATCCAAATTTAATTTTCCCTTTTTGAATACTTATGCTATTTCTGTATTCATCTAACTACAGATGTATTCATATTTTTAATGAATTTTCTTCTTTTGAAAATACTGTACAAACATTTACCAAGCTTCCATAACATGTCTCTGCATTAGGAGGAAAACACAGGACCATAATTTTCAGTTTGGAACTAATTTCAATACTAAAATCCTTTCAGCTAAAAAATACTTTTAAGAGCATCCCCAGAGACATGTCAAAATGAGAACTTTCAAGAATGGTCCCTTATTAATAGACAAAATAATTGGAAGTGGTTTATGGAAGGACAAATTGGGATGACTGCAGCAAATATCTGAAGACAATATGTCTGTTTTGGATATATATACACACACAAAAACATCTAGGTGTCCCTAGAAAAATGATGTTTAAGTCAGTTTCTTCAAATTTGTATCCTCGATAAAGGCAATACTATATGTGATACCAAGAGTAAATAATTGGCTGCTTTTGCCTCATTTAGATGTCTGTAGTTGTACAGATTTGTATCGGTATGTGATTTATATCTCTAGAGACGTAAATCTGTTCGTCTGCACTCACATGTAATAAGAGGACATGTGATGCTGAAACAGTCAAGCTCAGGCTGCAGTGTCGCACAGATGAGACCACCTGGTGCTGCCGAGACATAAACAGTAAACAGTCTCTCATGCATCTCCTCTGCCTGCTTTTCCTACCCCTCCACAATCCTTTCTTCCTATATTGCTCCTACTCACTTGCATCAACTTTCAAAATCCCTTACTAAATTGATACGATTGACTTAATTAGTTTTCAAGATGTATCATTATAGAACCTTTTCACAGTATGGTAAAAGTTTATCTATCTGTGCTATTTCCTTCTTGTGGTATTTATTGACTTTACACTGAACCTAGCTGACAACCAAACTATTTAAAACTAAATCACTGTAATTTAAAATAAAATTATTTCTCATTATATTTGCTCCATTAAACAAATAAAAGTGTACTCAGTCCCCTTAAATCAGAATTTAAGCAGTTGAACTAACACCAGAAGTTTCTCTAATTGTCTGCATAGAATTTTACACACATGCTCAGAAGACCTGTGACCTGGTGAAGGCAGGAGGGAAAGATGGGATTCATTTTATCCGACCACAGTTGTCAGTAATATCTGTTAAGCTCCCTTTATAGTCAATGCAAGCAAGTATTTGGGGAGCGTGTGTTGTCTGAAGCATTTCAAACTTCCAGATGAATCTCACACGAGAAATGACCATTTCCTTCACTGCTTTTTAAAAGAGTAAGGGTGACTAGATGGGTAAATATCTAAATCTGCACTTCAACAAAGGTATATAAATGCTGTTATAAATCAGTTTATGTGATATGCCAGAATTTAGAACTTTGTTTTTTACTCCCAAGACAAATTCCTCCTCGGTTCCTCTCTTGCTTCTTCTTGTTTTGTCCCCAGCTTCTTTTGTGCATCCAGTGTGTATCACTGGGTGTTTTCCTTGCACATACTTGATATTTGCCTGGAGATTAAAATCCAAGGCAAGATTTTTTTTTTTTTTTAACTGGTGTTTGAAAAAGAGCTTTGTTATACCCTGGTTTATTGATTTAACAATGTTAGCAAATATTTTTCTTGATTATTGCTCTGATATTTGACAAATATAATAGCGACAATTTTCCATGGCACTCTGGATAGATGCTTTCTCTGGAAGATCATTACTGCTCTTGTGCTGACGAATGAAAGAACAGTAATTCCATATATGTTAGGGTTTTGCTGATATATGGCTTTCATAGTCCAATGGAAGTGGAACATTAAGCTCTCGGACACAGCAATCAATTTGATTATATTGTTCAGCACAGTGATATTCAGCCCAAGCCCTAAAGTGCTGCAAGTTGCTCATCCACAGCATTGCAAAGAATTCTTATGGCCCAATGCAGGGAAGATATGTGGAGGGTTTTGGAGTTAATATGACAGTTATCATGAAGGGGAATGGAAAGCTAAAACAAGCTCACAACTGATTAAAGACAAGGGTAAATTGTGTGCTTTATTCCACTACTTGCATACAATAATTGAGCATTTTGAATATAAAATAATTCTTAAAAAATTGTTCTGAAGTTGAATGCAATTATTAACAGCTGCAATGACAAAATATAGATGTTATAGCACAGGCACTTTTCTATGTAAGAGCTTGGCAATTACAGTGTTTCTACTGCCCAGATGGGCCTTAAAGAAAAAAAAAAAAAGTATTTTTTTTCCTTGATTTAAATTAATCCCTTAATGAATTCTCTTCTGATCCAAATAGGGTAAGTGTGAATTTATTTATTAAAATTTAGAAATCACTTACATAACCAAAATTGTAAAGCTGTTTTTATTATTTATTTACAGTTCTATTTAGTATAATTACTATCTCACCAGATATGTCCCAAAAAGCAGATGTGCAAAACATTCTACACCAACCAATTTTAACTGGAAATATCTGCCAATGTCACTGTTATTTCTCATGCAGATACTGATCTCTCAGAGCTGTTTAATTTTAGTTACAGTAAGTAAGGAAAATACAACTTAGAGACACTCTTTTTTGTATTTTTAAAGAGGTGGAAGCATTATGAAAACCTTCTTTTATCCAAATTATATTGAAATAATATATTGTACAGATAGTACTGTAATTTTAAAATATATTAGGTACCAGTACATTAGGTACCTATTATGCCTATTATTATAACTCTCTGCCAAAAAAAAACATATAAGCTGTAATACTCTGAAAAATATACTCTTATGACAAATAAGATACATTGTGCAAGTAATTGTAGTGATAATGTATCAGAAGGGATATTTTGTATTTCCATTTGTAGCTAATACTATGAGCTTTTTTTAAAAACAAGCTAACATGAATTTCAAGATATTTTTGAGTTCAGTGAACCTAATTTGATTTATATGACTTTAATTATTTTGTTTATTTTACTTCATGCCAGATGAATTATTTGCTTTTCTTGAATTAAAAGGCTTTAGGTGTACAATTTGGTTTTATGATAAAAGAGCGAGTGAAAAACAAAAATCAGAAAAAAATGATTCCAATGTTTAGATTCTTTGGGAATAATATTTTAATGTAATTTTCTGAAAAACATTCACTGTCTTCCTACAAACTTTGAGACTGCATTTTTGTTTCAAAATACTATCACACAAAGTTTTTAAACACCTGTATTAGATTTATGGAAATTATAATCTTCAACAGGATCAGAAAGTTTCCTA